CGCAGGCCGACGCTCTCTCCCCTGAGCCAAGCCGGCCGGGGACAACCAGAGCCCGTTTAGGAGGAGGAAGGGAGGGCGCTGGGACACGCTGGCTGGCAGATCAGGGTGCACAGCCTGGGAAGGAGAAGCACGTGTGGCAGGAGGGCTATCAGGAGGCGGAAGCCTGGCTGCTTCAGAAACCGATGCGGACGGACGGACGGACGGACGGACGGAAGCCCGGGGGACTGGACATGAATGGGAAGTTGAGTGCTGGTGCCTTCTGTTTGCCGTGTCTTAGGGGAGCCGTAGCGGGGAGCAAAGATCCCAAATGTGGGCCTAACCAGTGTGGCTCAGTGGTTAGGACCGATGAGCCCGGAGGTCATGGTTCGAGCCCCCTTCAGGGCACAGGCCCGGGCTGCAGACTTGATCCTCGGTGCGGGGCGTGCAGGAGGCAGCGGGTCCGCGCTCCTCTCGCCTCACGGATGTGTTTATCTGTCTCCCCCTCTCCCTTCCTCTCTGAGAAATCAATGCAAACATTTTCTTAAAAGAAGATCGGAGTGCAGTTTCTCCAGAGGTGTTCAGAGCGGCCTTCGTTTCTCACTGAGTGCCAGCTTGTCTGAGCTAAAAGTAATGGCACCTACTGTGCGAATTGTAGCATTCAGACTTTCTACAAGCGGCATAATCACTTGACAGGCTATTTAAAAGATATGTTTTTATTGGTTCTGGACGGAGGGAGGGAAAGAGGAAGAAACACCCAGGAGAAGAGAGAATCACAGACCAACTGCCTCCTGCACGCCCTCCACTGGGGACGGAGCCTGCAACCCGGGCCTGTGCCCTGGACCGGGAATCGAACCCTGACCTCCTAGTTCCTAGGCCGACGCTCTCCACTGAGCCACACCGGCCGGGCTGACTGGCTAACACAGCTCCCTAGTCTGCGCTCACGTTCACCACAGCGGCAGACTGGGCTACGTCTGGGTTGGGGTGGAGGAGGAAAGCCCGGCATCGATCTGAAGGATTAAACAGAGCGACGGGGAGAGGGGAGAGGCGAATGCGCCCACAGGTTTGTGGGGTGCTTTGTGCTTACAGAGCTCTCTGTGTCCCCCCAGGCGGAGGCTGCGAGCTCTGTGCTCGGATGCTGGGGGCCCACCAGTGCGAAGGGGCCACATGAAGGCACCGTGAAGGTAAGCGGGGGGGGGGGGGGGGGGCCAAACATCGACGATGAGAGAAAAACATCGCCCAGCTGCCTCCCGCACGCCCCCCACTGGGGATGTGCCCGCCACCAAGGTCCATGCCCTTGACCGGGCATCGAACCCGGGACCCTTCCGTCCGCAGGCCGACGCTCTACCCACTGAGCCACACTGGTTCCGGCTTTAATTGGGTTTGAATGAACAGGAAAGCGGGCCGCGAGTTCCCAGGAGGAAATCTGCAAAACATGGAAGAGCACAGACTCCATAGGTGGATAGGACCCACTCCAAAGAGAGGCTTGCTTTGCGGAGTGTGTGTGTGTGTGTGTGTGTGTGTGCAAAATGAAATTTAGCACTCTGCACAGTGCATTAAGGGAGAGGAAAAAAACATGAATTATGAGAGGGAAATGATCGGCTGCCTCCTGCACGCCCCCTACTGCGGATCGAGCATACTACCCGGGCCTGTGCCCTTGACTGGAATCGAACCTGGGGCCCTTCACTCTGCAGGCCGACTCTATCCACTGAGCCAAACTGGCTAGGGCTCTCTCCAGTTTCTTGATGAGCTATCAGCCCAAATTATTATTTGTGTTGGAATCCTTGTGCTTAGGGGGGCAGCCCCAGCGCAGCCGCCAGCTGGCAGGAACTGGCTGTGGGTCCGCGTGGTGGCTGTTCCCCTTGGCTCCTTCCCATCCGGGCCGCGGAGCCCTCCCATTGCACTAACGGGCGCCTCCAGTCAGAACTGGGTCAGCCGAGAACACAGCCGCCAGCCGCTAATTGGACCTGCGGTTTCCATCTGTTTTGTTTCTCACTTCCGCTCAAGGCCCCGGGGGCCTGCGCTGCTGGAAAGCTCTGCTTCCGAAAGAAAGGAGGCCCACAGCATCCCCTGGCGCTGGCTGCGGGGAGGGGTTCCCGAGCCGGCCAGGGCTGGGCCTGGGGGGGGCCTGGTCCCCAGCTGCTGCTGCTGCTGCTGCTGCTGCTTCTTCCTTCTTCCTTCTTCCTTCTTCCTTCTTCTTCTTCTTCTTTTTTCTTTTTCTTCTTCTTCCTTCTTCCTTCTTCCTTCCTCCTCCTCCTCCTCCTCCTCCTTCTTCTTCTTCCTTCTTCCTTCTCCTTCCTTCTTCTTCCTTCTTCCTTCTTCTTCTTCCTTCTTCCTCCTCCTCCTCCTCCTTCTTCTTCCTTCTTCCTTCTCCTTCCTTCTTCTTCCTTCTTCCTTCTTCTTCCTTCTTCTTCTTTCTTCTTCCTTCTTCCTTCTTCCTCCTCCTCCTCCTACTCCCCCTTCTTCTTCTTCTTCTTCTTCCTTCTTCCTTCTTCCTCCTTCTTCCTTCTTCTTTCTTCTTCTTCCTTCTTCCTCCTTCTTCTTCCTTATTCCTTCTTCTTCCTTACTCCTTCTTCTTCTTCCTTCTTCCTTCTTCTTCTTCCTTCTCCTTCCTTCTTCTTCCTCCTTCTTCTTCTTCCTTCTTCCTCCTCCTCCTTCTTCTTCCTTCTTCCTTCTTCTTCTTCCTCCTTCTTCCTTCTTCTTCCTTCTTCTTCCTTCTTCCTCCTTCTTCTTCCTTATTCCTTCTTCTTCTTCTTCCTTCTCCTTCCTTCTTCCTCCTTCTTCCTCCTCCTTCTTCTTCTTCCTTCTTCCTTCTTCCTTCTTCCTTCTTCCTTCTTCCTTCTTCCTTCTTCCTTCCTCTTCCTTCCTCCTCCTCTTCCTCCTCCTCCTCCTCTTCCTCTTCTTCCTCATTCTCCTTTTCCTCATTCTCCTCTTTCTCTTCTTCAAAGATGAGGAAGGGAAAGATAGAAACATGAAGAGAAACATTGATGAGGGCCTCCCGCACGCCCCCTACCGGGGATGGAGCCCACAGCCCGGGCCTGTGCCCTGACCTCACGGTGCACGGGCTGGTGCTCGGTCACAGAGCCACGGCGGCCTGGCTGCTTTTGATGGGCTTTGTAAGGGCCGCTTGTGTGGTCCAGGATGACGATGCTGAGGCCACCAGCTCTTGGATTTTAGGAGGGTGTCCGCTGATCCCCTAGGACCGTGGTCGGCAAACTGCGGCTCTCAAGCCACGTGCGGCTCTTTGGCCCCTTGAGTTTTAGCAAAGGCCAGCTTAATCAGCTTAGTACCCTGATTAAGTTAATAACAATGTATCTGCCTATATAGTTTAAGTGTAAAAAATGTGGCTCTCAAAAGAAATGTCTATCGTTGTCCTGTTGCTGTTTGGCTCTGTGGGCTAATGAGTTTGCCGACCACAGCCCAGGAGGCCCTTGCAGGTTGCTCTCTGGCGCTGTGCACAGGAGGCTGAATGAAGTCTTTGCGGGCTCTTCTGGGACCTGCTGGCAGGGGCCTGGCCTGGGATGTGAAGCATTCAGCCCTCACGACTGCTCCCCCAGCAGGCTGCTGCCCTTACTGTGGAAGTGACAAGTCTGATCCGGGGCTTGCCTGCAATCTAGAAGGAGGTGAAGACGAGGGGAGAGGCTGCCCGTGGGCTCTGAGCAGGCGGTCCCCGTCCTCCACCTTCTACCCGGCTCTCAGCCAGCAGGGCCAGCCACTGAGACCGTCCTTTTTCTGTTCTTCTTCTTCTTTTAATCCTCACCCGAGGGTATTTTCCCATTGATTTTTAGGGAGAGTGGAGGAGAGAGGGAGAGACAGAGAGAAACATCGATGTGAGACACAACGATGGGTTGACTCCTGCACGAGTCCCCCCGATCATGGCCTGGGCTGGGGAAGAGCCTGCAACCAAGGTACATGCCCTTGACTGGAATTGAACCCGGTTCGGTCCACAGGCAGATGCTGTATGCACGAGCCACACTGGCCAGGGTTGAGACTGTTCTTACGGAGAAGACGAAGGCCACCTTGTCCATACGCACGGCCGCTCCGGATCCAGGGACTGTTTGGCACATTGCTGAAGACCAGAACCACTCTGTCACTCTAGCCATGTGTGTGTGTGTGTGAGTGTGAGAGAGAGAGAGAGAGAGAGAGAGAAAAGGAGTGGGTGTATGGCTTGACGCTATGGCTGGCTGAGCCAGTCAAAGGTGTAGCTTGTACCTGACCCTGTTCCAGCCACATGAATACAGCAGTGTTTCTTGTTATTGATATATTTCACCCGGATGTATGCTTTTTCTTTAAGTTTTCTTAATCCTCACCTGAGGATATTTTTCCATTGATTTTTAGAGGGAAGAGAGAGAGAGAGAGAGAGAGAGAGAGAGAGAAGGAAAGAAACACCAATGTGAGAGACACATGGATTGGTTGTCTCCTGCATTCACTCCGACCAGGGGACCAGAGATCAGACCTGCCACCTGGTACGTGCTCTTGACCAGGAATCGAACCCGTGACCATTGTGAGCCCCAGCCAATGTTCTACCATTGAGTAGCACTGGCCAGGAGGGATATATGCTTTTTGTATAAATAATTGTGAAATTTGTGTGTAGCACATGATTATGCAATATAACACGAACCAGACATAAGTTAGCTTCGTGGATATAACGTCATGGGAGTGGCTTTCTTCCACTCTCTCAGAATGTGAGACAAAAGCCTGGCGTGGCTCAGTGGTTTGAGCACCTACCTATGAACCAGGAGGTCACGGATCGACTTCCTTCCATACCTGGGGTTGTGGGCTCGATTCCCAGTAATGAGCCTTCAGGAGGCAGCCTATCTATGATTCTCCCTCATCATCTATGTTTCTCTCTCTCTCTCCCCCTCTCCCTTCATCTCTAGAAACAATAAAAATAAAAACTTTTTAAGTGCAGAAGAAAAAAGAAATACAGACATGTTTGAAAACTCTCCATTTTCTTCTCTCTCCTATCACCCAGAGGGTGGTCCTCGCTTCCACAGACCTCGTGGCTGGGAGGTGAGGCTAAGATGAGCATAACCAGCGACGAGGTGAACTTCCTGGTGTATCGCTACCTCCAGGAGTCAGGTAAAGCCACTCCCCTTCTGTGGGGGAAACTCATATTCCTGTGAGGGAAACACACCTTCCTGTCGGGGAAATGCACTTTCCTATGGGGGAAACGCACCTTCCTGTGTGGAAACCTAACTTCCTGGGAGGAAACCTAATCTTCCTATGGGGGAAGCACATCTTCCTATGGGGGAAACACATCTTCCTGTGGGGGAAACATACCTTCTTTTGAGGGAACCCTTCTTCCTGTGGTGGAAATGCACCTGCCTGTGGAGAAAAACACCTTCCTATAGGGAAAATCTTTCTGTGGGGGAAACACACCCTGCTGTGGGAGAAAGGCACCTTCCTGTGGGGGAATGCACCTTCCTGTGGGGGAATGCCTCTTCCTGTGGGGGAAACGCACCTTCCTGTGATAGAACACATCTACCTGTGGGGAAAGGCACCTTCCTGTGGGGGGAATACTCATGCCAGTGGGGGCAACACAGCTTCCTGTGAGGCAACACATCTTCTTGCTGTGGAATTAATTTTCCTGTGGGGAAAGGCACCTTTTTTGAGGGAACACGTGTATCTTTTGGGGAAACACACCTTTCTGTGGGAGGAACATACTTTCCTGTGAGAGAAAACAGCTTCCTGTAGAATAACACATCTTCCCTAGGGGAACCTATCTTCCTGTGGGGGAAACACACCTTCCTGTGAAGAACACATCTTCCTGAGGGAAAATGCACCTTCTTGTGGGAATCTAGCCTTTCTGTGAGGGAAACACAACTTCCTGTGAGAGAAAACATCTTTCTGTGGGGGAAAGGCACCTTCCTGTATGGGAACCCTTTTTCCTGCGGGGGAAGTACACCTTCCTGTGGGGGAAATACCTTCCAGTGAAGAAACACATATTCTGGTGGGGGAAACTCAACTTCCTGTGGGGGCGATTCATCATCCTTTTGAGGAAACCTACCTCAAACCTACCCCTTTGTGGGAACTTAGCCTTCCTCTGGGGGAAACTCACCCTTCTGTGAGAGAAAACATCTTCCGGTGGGGGTAACTCAACTTCCTGTGGGGGCGATTCATCTTCCTGTGTGGAAATCCTTTCTCTCAAGGAAAAGCACTTTACTCTCGGGAAACGCACCTTTCGTGGGGGAATGCCTCTTCCTGTGAGGGATACGCACCTTCCTGCGAGAGAACACATCTACCTTTGGGGAAAGGCAGCTTCCTGTGGGGGGAATACTCATGCCAGTGGGGGCAACAAACCTTCCTGTGAGACAACACATCTTCCTGTTGGGGAATTCATTTTCCTGGTTGGGAAAGGCACCTTTTTGTGATGGAACACGTTTATCTTTTGGGGAAACACACCTTTCTGTGCGAGGAACATACTTTCCTGTGAGAGAAAACAGCTTCCTGTAGAATAACACATCTTCCTCTAGGGGAACCTACCTTCCTGTGGGGGAAACACACCTTCCTGTGAAGAACACATCTTCCTGTGGAAGAACACATCTTTCTTAGGGAACACATCTTCCTGTGGGGAAGTGCCCCTTCTTGTGGATATCTAGCCTTCCTGTGAGGGAAACACAACTTCCTGTGGGAGAAAACAACTTTCTGTGGGGGAAAGGCACCTTCCTGTATGGGAACCCTTTTTCCTGCGGGGGAAGTACACCTTCCTGTGGGGGAAACACCAACCCGTGAAGAAACACATCTTTAGGTGGGGGAATCTCAACTTCCTGTGGGGGCGATTCATCATCCTTTTGAGGACACCTACCTCAAACCTACCCCTTTGTGGGAACGTAGCCTTCCTGAGGGGGAAACACACCCTTCTGTGAGAGAAAACATCTTCCGGTGGGGTAACTTCCTGTGGGGGAAATTCATCTTCCTGTGTGGAAATCCTTTCTCTCAAGGAAAAGCACCTTTCTCTGGGGAAACGCACCTTCCTGTGGGGGAATGCCTCTTCCTGTGGGGGAAACGCACCTTCCTGTGATAGAACACATCTACCTGTGGGGAAAGGCACCTTCCTGTGGGGGGAATACTCATGCCAGTGGGGGCAACACAGCTTCCTGTGAGGCAACACATCTTCTTGCTGTGGAATTAATTTTCCTGTGGGGAAAGGCACCTTTTTTGAGGGAACACGTGTATCTTTTGGGGAAACACACCTTTCTGTGGGAGGAACATACTTTCCTGTGAGAGAAAACAGCTTCCTGTAGAATAACACATCTTCCCTAGGGGAACCTATCTTCCTGTGGGGGAAACACACCTTCCTGTGAAGAACACATCTTCCTGTGGGAGAATACATCTTTCTGTGGGGGAAAGGCACCTTCCTCTATGGGAACCCTGTTCCCTGCAAGGGAAGTACACCTTTCTGTCGGGAAACCACCTTCCTGTGAAGAAACACATCTTCTGGTGGGGGAAACTCAACTTCCTGTGGGGGCGATTCATCATCCTTTTGAGGAAACCTACCTCAAACCTACCCCTTTGTGGGAACGTAGCCTTCCTGTGGGGGAAACACACCCTTCTGTGAGAGAAAACATCTTCCGGTTGGGGGAACTCTACTTTCTGTGGGGGAAATTCATCTTCCTTTTAGGAAATCCTTTCTCTCAAGGAAAAGCACCTTTCTCTGGGGAAATGCATCTTCCTGTGGGGGAATGCCTCTTCCTGTGGGGGAAACGCACCTTCCTGTGAGAGAACACATCTACCTGTGGGGAACGGCAACTTTCTGTGAGACAACACATCTTCCTGCTGGGGGATTCATTTTCCTGTGGGGGAGAGACACCGTTTTTTGAGGGAACACGTATATCTTTTGGGAAACACACCTTTCTGTTGGGGAAACACAGCTTCCTGTGAAGAACACATCTTCCTGTAGGAGAACACATCTTTCTGTGGGGAACACATCTTCCTGTGGGGAAGTTCCCCTTCTTGTGGATATCTAGCCTTTCTGTGAGGGAAACACATCTTCCTGTGGGAGTAAACAACTTTCTGTGGGGGAAAGGCACCTTCCTGTATGGGAACCCTTTTTCCTGCGGGGGAAGTACACCTTCCTGTGGGGGAAACACCTTCCAGTGAAGAAACACATATTCTGGTGGGGGAAACTCAACTTCCTGTGGGGGCGATTCATCATCCTATTGAGGAAACCTACCTCAAACCTACCCCTTTGTGGGAACTTAGCCTTCCTCTGGGGGAAACTCACCCTTCTGTGAGAGAAAACATCTTCCGGTGGGGGTAACTCAACTTCCTGTGGGGGCGATTCATCTTCCTGTGTGGAAATCCTTTCTCTCAAGGAAAAGCACTTTACTCTCGGGAAACGCACCTTTCGTGGGGGAATGCCACTTCCTGTGAGGGATACGCACCTTCCTGCGAGAGAACACATCTACCTTTGGGAAAGGCAGCTTCCTGTGGGGGGAATACTCATGCCAGTGGGGGCAACAAACCTTCCTGTGAGGCAACACATCTTCTTGCTGTGGAATTAATTTTCCTGTGGGGAAAGGCACCTTTTTTGAGGGAACACGTGTATCTTTTGGGGAAACACACCTTTCTGTGCGAGGAACATACTTTCCTGTGAGAGAAAACAGCTTCCTGTAGAATAACACATCTTCCCTAGGGGAACCTATCTTCCTGTGGGGGAAACACACCTTCCTCTGAAGAACACATCTTCCTGTAGGAGAATACATCTTTCTGTGGGGGAAAGGCACCTTCTTGTATGGGAACCCTGTTTCCTGCAAGGGAAGTACACCTTCCTGTGGGGGAAACACCAACCTGTGAAGAAACACATCTTCTGGTGGGGGAAACTCAACTTCCTGTGGGATTCATCATCCTTTTGAGGAAACCTCCCTCAAACCTACCCCTTTGTGGGAACGTCGCCTTCCTGTGGGGGAAACACACCCTTCTGTGAGAGAAAACATCTTCCGGTGGGGGGAACTCAACTTCCTTTGGGGGAAATTCATCTTCCTGTGTGGAAATCCTTTCTCTCAAGGAAAAGCACCTTTCTCTGGGGAAACGCACCTTACTGTGGGGGAATGGTTCTTCCTTGGGGGATACGCACCTTCCTGTGAGAGAACACATCTACCTTTGGGGAAAGGCACCTTCCTGTGGGAGGAATACTCATGCCAGTGGGGACAACACACCTTCCTGTGTGACAACACATCTTCCTGCTGGGGAATTCATTTTCCTGTTTGGGAAAAGCACCTATTTGTGAGTAAACACGTGTATCTTTTGGGGAAACACACCTTTCTGTGGGAGGAATATGCTTTCCTGTGAGAGAAAACAGCTTCCTGTACAATAACGCATCTTCCCTAGGGGAACCTATCTTCGTGTGGGGGAAACACACCTTCCTGTGAAGAACACATCTTCCTGTGGGAGAACACATCTTTCTTAGGGAACACATCTTCCTGTGGGGAAGTGCCCCTTCTTGTGGATATCTAGCCTTCCTGTGAGGGAAACACAACTTCCTGTGGGAGAAAACAACTTTCTGTGGGGGAAAGGCACCTTCCTGTATGGGAACCCTGTTTCCTGCGGGGGAAGTACACCTTCCTTTGGGGAAACACCTTCCCATAAAGAAACACATCTTCTGGTGGGGGAATCTCAACTTCCTGTGGGGGCGATTCATCATCCTTTTGAGGAAACCTACTTCAAACCACCCCTTTGTCGTAACGTAGCCTTCCTGTGGGGGAAACACACCCTTCTGTGAGAGAAAACATCTTCCGGTGGGGGGAACTCAACTTTCTGTGGGGAACTGCACCTTCCTGTGGGGGGAATACTCATGCCAGTGCGGGCAACACATCTTCCTGCTGGGGGATTCATTTTCCTGTTTGGGAAAGGCACCTTTTTGTCATGGAACACGTTTATCTTTTGGGGAAACACACCTTTCTGTGCGAGGAACATACTTTCCTGTGAGAGAAAACAGCTTCCTGTAGAATAACACATCTTCCCCTAGGGGAACCTATCTTCCTGTGGGGGAAACACACCTTCTTGTGAAGAACACATCTTCCTGTGGGAGAACACATCTTTCTTAGGGAACACATCTTCCTGTGGGGAAGTGCCCCTTC